CGTGAATGATTCATATTTTTAAAAGTCATACTAGTAAATTTTTTCTAAATTATGAAAATATATTTTTGAATTGTGTTTATGTAGTGGTTTTTCGCACTTTTAAACTATTATGGCTTCTAAATTTGGAAACAAATTTTTGGACCGTGTTTTCACTTAATAATGGGAAACTAAGAAAAACAAGTTTTGACTGGAATGTAATTTATTTTCATATAGAATATGTTAATGGAATAATGGGAAAGTAAGGAAAGAATTTAAAGCTAATAAATGTTTGTACTTTGTAGTTTTTGCAATAGTTTTTTTGGATTTTGGTTTTTGAATTTAGCAATATTATGGAAAAACAATAAAAGTTTGATAAACAAAGATTGTTTTTTTTTTCACAAAAAAAACCCAAATAATAAAGATTTTGGTAATTTATTTATTTACTGAAAATATTAAATTTCCAAAACCTAANAGTTATTAAATTTTAGGTAAGGTTTTTAAAATTTTGACCGGATTAAAATTTTAGATTTTAGTATTTTACAGTTTAATCAGTTTTTTTTTTTTACAGCTTAGACCAGAAAACGACACTCTTTACTCCGTCGCAGTCTCTCTCACCGGCGATCTCTACTTCACCGTCTCCGTCGCAGAATCTCATTCCTCCTCCGCATCTGTATCAGTCAACGATTCACTCTCCACTACAAGTCATGTTTCCAATCTCATCTTCCCCACCTCCACAGGCCATGGTCATAGCTCCCTATCGGACTCCGTCCCCTCCTCGTCCTCGTAAGCCTATCTCCTTCCCTGAAATCTAGATCCACCGGAGAACAAGCAATGACCCATTATCAAAGATCCAATTTTTCTTCAATCCCATTTCTTCATCACTGTTTTTGCTCTAATTTTCTGGAGAAATTTGTTGGTTTGCTTCAGGTGTTGTGGAGAAATTGATGCATAAGAATGACTTGAATTGTTATTGTCAAAGGTTAAGCATACCAATGCCAGTGTATGAATCAACAAGTGAAGGTTATGATCATGCTCCGAGATATAGAGCTACTGTTTCTGTTGGTAAACGAAGCTTTACTTCTCAGAATATGTTCTCGAATCGGAAATCTGCAGAGCAAGATGCTGCTAAGGTTGCATTACAACATTTGCTTGATGAAGATGAAGCTAATGCAACGAAACTACGCTTGTATCTTCGCAAGGTTTGTACAAATCTCTTCCCTTTCTGAGTAGGAGTAATGGCTTTTTTAGAGATTTCAGGATTGGTTAGTGACTGAGAATATGTGGATAAGCATTTATGAAGGAAAGATGTTTATAGCAAACCAGATATAAAAGCTAGGGCATATACATATATAAAAGATAAGATACTAGAAATGATGTGCTAAAGTAACGGAAATAGTTGTCGTTTATTTGCTAAAAATATTGGTTAGATGTGATCAATGCCAAGCCAATATACTTTCTTTGTTTAGAAATTTTATCGCCTCTTGAGCGTAAAATCAGGCAGATGCTTGTATCTTGAACAAAATGAAGGAACATGCAGTAGGTAACGCATACTTTGGTTAATATATGCATTGAGTTTTAGGTCTGATTTGGGTTTTGATTTCTGCTTATTTGAAGCTCACGGATTGTAACATTTGGATTTAGAAATTGAAGCAAATACCACTCTTTTGAGTTTTGATTATGCATTAGTTATTGTGTTGCGGCAGACAATTGTTGAGCGCCCTGCCCTTTGGATGTGGCCTTTTGCATATGTTGGACATCTTTTTTCTAATAAAAACAATGAATTATAGGTCATGTGATGCAATACTTTACGATGGTATGATTAGTTGTGAGAACACCGTGCCACTACTGATTTTGCTTTGATCTTCTGCAGCTCGTATGTCAGGAAAAAGTTCGTTCCAAGATGATATTGAACGAGTTTCTTGTCAAGAATAAGATGGAATGCATATATAAGACAGTTCAAGTTGAAAACCCTCCTGTGTTTGTTTCGTCTTTGGCACTAAATGGTACTTGTTATAAAGGGAAAGCTGCTAAGAATAAGAAAGAAACTGAGCAACTAGCTGCACTTGCCGCTATCCTCTCCCTATTAGGTAAACGCTTACATTCTTTAACGAATAAACTAGAACAAGGACATGTCTCATTGGACATTGATCATTTCTCGTTTCCTTTTTGCTATGTTTCCATTTGGTTTGACCAGCGAATACCTTTAATTGTTACAGATGATCCTACATATGCTACAATGATGTATGAAGTTTTGAAGTCCAAATTTAGTGTTTGTTCCGCGTTTTATGAGCCCAAGGACATACCTAATACTCGTGATTGTTCAGTCACCAGCAACGAATTCAAGGCTACCACTTCCAACAGTGATGTGATACCTCTTAATCAGCAGAACTCGTCGAGCAAGCCAAGCAGTTCCAAAATCTCAGTCAATGAAAAATTGCTACAGGCCAATAATACAAAGGAGCAAAGGAGTTCTGAAATCTTGGTCAACAAGAACAAGCAAGATTTGGCAATGTCACTGCCCCAGATAGAGAAGCAAGGTGCTCCTGGAGCCTTGAATGGTACTGGTCTCCCCACTGAAGCAGTGACCATTTCAAGGAGTTCGTACGTTAATCTGCCAGTAACTCGACTATTGTTCTCAGAACCACAACATGGTACAAAAATGCCATCATTAGTAAACTTAGAGGAGCAAAGGGGATCTGCAATATTGGTCAACATGAGCAAGCAAGATTTGGTAAAATCACTGCCTCAGACAGAGAAGCAAGGTGGTCGCGAAGTCTTAGATGGTAAACGAGGTGATGCTGGTCTCCCGACTGAAGCAGTGACCATTTCAAGGTGTTCTTACGTTAGTCCTTCAATAACTCGACCATTGTTCTCAAAACCACAACATAAAACCCAATTGCCAGAGCCAGCACAATCGACCCCTCAGCAAATCAGTGTCCCAATAGAGTTTGTGCCAGCAGCAGCATCCGATCCGCCTTATGATCCGATCTCTTGTAGAAAGCGAGAAAGGAACAAGAAGAGAGCGGAAAAGAGGAAGGCAAACAAGAGATTGCGAACTGAAAACAAGTAAGCTGTACTAGCACGCTTATTTTCTTGAGATGGTCTTTAGAAAAGTAATGGTTTCTTCTTATGTGGCATATAACGGCGCAGAATATTAACACTCTGATATTTAAACGTAGGTTGGATTCGTCGGACTTAAGAAGAACATTGGTATGAAGGAAGGATAGTGAAGCAGATATTGGGTTAGTGAATATTATGTACAGTATCGGAGATCTCTTTGTAGTGTTCTGTGTAGCTCAAGATAGTAAGTGTTAGCTTAGGAGCCTAAAAGGCTCATGTCTTGATTTCTCTTGTACTTCATTGTATGATTTGACTCCTGCTGCTCATTATGCTCGTATATATATAACCCTTTTTTGCTATATTTTGTTTTCCAATATCATCATTTTACTAGTGGTTAATCTGATATGTGATAAATCAATAATGCATAGAAGTGCTTTCAAATAAAAATAAACCGAATTTTTATAACGAGAAAAAGAATTATCGTTAACATTGTTGATCCGATTCATAGACTAACTCATACTCTCAGTAAATTGAGTTCTTAAAAGCCCTTTAGTTATATTCTCATTTTGCAAGTTCACTTATAAAAATGATTTACACTTTTCAACTACAAGTTGTTATCAATGCTATGTACTTCAGTTTTATTGTCATTTTGCAAATTTGTGTAAAGTTTCTAAAACTCCTCCATAATTATTCCTTTTTCTAACTTTGGTCATCACATCTACACTGTTTTAGCTGATCGGACCCAATTATTCTAAATCTTTGCACTTCAGAATGTTTTTTTTTTTGAAACTTACACTTCAGAATGTTATCACCAACTCCCATGTGCCTTTATAAATCCAATCATTCATTAGCTTTTAAGCTATCAAAAATTTTCTTTAAATGTTAATACACCATTGCATCTTTATTAAGCTTTAACACCCATATACTTCTGTAAACTGGAGAGATTCAAGATTACTTACATTTCAAGCATATTTTAAAAGAACTTACGAAAATACCATTCATCAAATATTGTTTTTATTAATAATGAACGTAGATGTTTTAAAAATCTCCAATTTTTCGGGAAACTTGTAAAATTTATTTCGCGCTCATCTACTGTGATGTGACATATTTAACGTTGAAAACCTGTCAAAATTATCAAATTCTTGTAGAAAGTATTGAATACTTTTTTTTTTGGTTTAATGTTAAGAAAACAAAATCCTAAAAGTTAGGGTAATTCAAAAAGGTTGTCGTGCAATGTTCACCACTGCATGTAGCCATGTAGTGAACACTATCTATCACAAGTATAAGTATATGGTGATGCGCAAG